GGTCCTTTATGGAGCAGGCTAGTCTAAGTTCCAGTTGGGCTTTTGCCCCCCTGATTATCTCCCTACGTGCCCTAACTTCCTCCCTGTATTCCTCCCTGGATGCCTGCCCATTCTTCCAAGAATTATAGACATCCCTTTTTCTTTTGAGGTGTTCCCAAATCTCCTTGGTCATCCAAGCTGGTTTTCTACCCTGGCGGCTCGATTTCTGGCACACAGGGACAGCTCGCTCCTGTGCCTCCAGAATTTCCTTTTTGAGTAGCAACCATCCCTCCTGCACCCCTTTACCCTTGAGAGCTGTCTCCCATTGGACTTTATTAACCAGACTTCTAAACAGTCCAAAGTCAGCTCTCCCAAAGTCCAGCTTGGCCGTTTTAGTGCTCCCCCTCCTAACTTCCCCTAGAATTGAGAATTCTATTATCTCATGGTCACTATGCCCCAGGCATCCTCCAACCATCACATCTCCCACGAGACCTTCTCTGTTCACAAACAGCAGGTCTAGGGGAGCACCTTCTCTAGTCGGTTCACTGACTAGTTGTGATAGGAAGTTGTCCTCCACACACTGCAGGAATCGCCTAGACTGTTTCCTGACTGCCGTGTTATACTTCCAGCAGACATCAGGTAGGTTAAAGTCACCCACAAGGACAAGGGCTAGTGAGCGTGAGACTTCCCCCAGTTGTTTAAAAAATAGTTCATCAGCCTCACCGTCCTGACAGGGTGGCCTATAGCAGATTCCCACTACAATATCATCTTCTGTGGGTTTCATTTTGAGATAAAATTTGATTAACATCTTACTATAGAGCTCGCAAAATTTTATGAATACTCTGATTTAACGAAAAAATGAGTATCTGAGATACCCAGAAGCCTTTTGGATGTTGTGTGCATGCCTAGAGTCCGTAATGCCCTGGAGAAGCATCTAGGATATATGAAAGGAGAGTGGCCTATTGGTTGAAGCAAAGTTTGCTGTTTCAAAACACATACAAACTAAACTGTGTGTTAGAATATCCAGCCTGCAGATGCTGGATGCTTCTCAGACATGAAAGCATTTAGAAACAAGCAGTTATTACAGTGATGCTTGCCTCTTACTAGAATGTAGTTGTAACCTGAAAAATGACACCGAAAAACAAGACCCTCCTACTGATTTTTGCCTGCCCCCTGTGCAGTTACCAATGCTTAATAAGAGTCTGAATCTTGTATTTCTAAAATGTCAGAGCTTGCCAGCGTATCAGGAGCAAGAAAACTCGCATGCTTTTGAGTCTCAGTATATACTATGGCTGTGGGGGAAAAGGTGTATGAAATTTCTTTCTAGTTGCAAAAGCATTTGTGGTAACTCAGCTCAGTGATACTAATTTGGTATGTTCGACATAACCAGTCACTGGTGGGTTTTTTAGTTGTGATTAACACAAACATCCTAGACTTATCCAGGAAATACCTCTGCGCTTTTTCATACCAGTATGTAATCCTTGTCATTGCCAAATTTACTGCATTTTCTGCAAACAAATCCAGCTGACGTGGATAATGATGTCCATAATTAAAGCTAAGAGTCGGAAAGGAGGAAAATGATCTAAACTTGGTGTCTCTGAATTAATGACAAAATTCTTAACTTTGCCTGAAAGTAGGATTGGGAAAAGACGTTGATTTGTCAGAGCTTATCTTGAGCAAGCCGTACTCGGAGTGCACGGAGTGCACTGCTGTGGTATTGCTCAGCTGTTTTACCGTAATCAGCATGCCTGTCAAATCGAATCCCTTGACAGTACTGTGACTTGTTTGTCTTAATACACTTGTTCTTAAATGACAAACAAAGGTTTTAGAAATACTGTAGTTTTCGCTGAAGTGAAAGAAGAACATGTAAACACAAATAGAAAATATCTCAGTCACTTTTGCCATATTTGCCAAACTTTATTTATATCATGTCTACAGATGAAACCAGGCTCCAGAAAAGAGTCACTGCAACAGACATTATTATTTATACTCCAGCTGCCAAGGAAAAACTTCGTCAGTAGCCTGTAGTAATATTTGGACCAAAAATACACAGATGTGCAGCTTTCAGCATTTTGTATGATGTAAAGTGCAGCTTCTCTCACAGGTCCTCTGTTTCTGGAACAGTGTTGGAATCCGAAGGCTGAATGAACACTACAGGAATATTCTCGGATGTCCATCCTTTAGGAGTCCTATTGAAGGATCTTCTGGTAGCAAGAGGGTTTGCAAGGATCATGAATCGGGGATCATTTAGCATCAGTAGATTAAAATCTGGTACCTTGAATTTAACCAGCTTTGATGCTCGCTCAAAACCACCAAAGGGAGTGGCAACTCTGTAGATATTAGAGAAATAAAAGTAAAATGTGATTTTAAAAATATCTGTTTTCTTTTTCTCCCAGAAGCTGAAAAGAATAGAAGCTATTTTAATGGTACAGATTCAGTACAATTTCTTGTTTACATTTTCAAGCTTTTGGGAAACATTCTGATTGTTTTTCTGGCAAATTCTCTTTAAGATTCAATTTATTTTCCCGTAGACAAAGCCTTCAGCCTACTTCAAAGTTCAAATGGACGGAAAAGCCGAGGGAAAAAGGTGTTGCAAGAAAACCTTGTGCTTGGTGAGTCACAGTTACAAAACTTACTTTGGTGGTGATAAGTTGATAAATCATAAAACATATTTCAACGCATTATCTCTAGCAGGTAATTAGTTTAGGAAGTTCTCATCCCATTTTCTCCTATCCCCAGCTGCTTATTCCTCCGACTACACTGTATTTCAGCGCCATATTGTTGTACCAGTTACAGTGTATGTGGAGTGTGCTATAAACTTGGGTCAGTTCTGGAAACAAAGACCCTTCAAAACAAAGGAGATTTTAAAATCCAGCTTATTTCAGCAATCTAGTTTGTATCATTCCTCTCAAACAATTGCAACAGTACAAGTGAGGAGGCAGTAAAGCGTAATGTGAAGCAGAGAACAGCCAAAGACAACAGGCCCTGGGAAGGAGGGGAATGGGTGAGGACTTCTTACGCCAGCTTTGTTTCTGAAGAAAATGTTTATGTAACTAAACCTTGAAACACTGGCTGACATTGGCCCCTAGTCTATGATCAGTATTTTTCATGTTATTTAAATGTAAATGTTCCCTCAGGCGATAAGGCGGAGAAACTGAAAGATAAAAAATAGTAAGCAGGAGCTGACTGTTGCATACATTTGCAAATATTTTAAAACGACAGTATTTCCAAATATACCTCCCGTGATTCTTCTATATTTGCAGTTTTCTAGGCTGAAAAAAAGAACCTTGAGTTTTTCTGTCATTTTTTTCAGTCTCCTTTGTATAAGCAAACGTGACCAAACAGACTACTATATGCAGCTGATCAAAATGCAGAGCACATAACTTTGCTGGGTTATATTCTGGCCAGTTAAGAGTGTCAGATTTTTGAACTACACAGGAGCACCTGGTTTCTGCAAAGCTAGATGCATAGTGGCATACGAAAAAAAAATTATGGAAATGGAATTTCACCAGCCTTGATACATTTTGTATGTTCGATACAAAACAACAGATCTGCTGGTATGTATTTCCAGTGGCACTAGGTATTATAGCAGAAGCCCTGAGAAATTAATACCAATGGAAACAAAAAGAGATCAGTTGAAGATTTGACTAGGGTTTTCAGCAAGATAACTATAGATAAACAAAACCTAGGGAGAATTAAATACGCAGAAGAAAAAAAGAGATTAATTCAGAAAAATGAATCCGTGACTTAAAATAAATGGTACTGCTGTGTCATTGCACAGATAATTCACTGAATTTCAGTATGAGCAGCATTTGTTGAAGTGGATGGTGTTAACTCCAACAGATCAATCCTGTAAGATACAAAAAATCATGAAAGTTCTGGGCATGCACACTTACAGAGGGAAGAGC